CCATCGGTAACAACCAATCGGCAAAAGCGACAATTTTTAACGATAAGAAAGTGTCTTTAAAACTGGTCCAAGTCAAGGGATTAATGAATATAGACATAGTTTATTTTGAAACCTCTTTCAAAAGGAAAGGCAATATTTACCCAGATAAATACAATGACATATTAACAGAAACTTCGGGAAAGCAGACAAAACCTAAAATAAGGTTTAAAACGTTACTATGAAGAAAGGAAAGTTATGCAAAGATAAGGACATGCGTCGCTCACTCATAGATATATATGCTGCTAGACTTCTACTGCTTGAACATATATGCAACACGCCGCAGTTTCTTGGAAGCAAAATGCTCAATAACGCGCTGATTAAAGTCATGCATCCCAGAAATAACGTCTCTGTGAATGGATAAAACAGCCAAGGAATTTAATCTATCTTGCTCCATTGTGTTTCTGAGATACGTTTTAATACGCTTCAGCGTGCTGAATGTTCGCTCTGCGTCGGCGGAAGAAATAGGCGTCGTCAAAATGATGTCCAGAAATTTTGCAGACGCCGCAAAGGTATAGTTACTAGAGTGTTATCTATGAGGAACCCATAGAGCGCGCAAGTTGATGTGATGTTCAAAAAATTTTGATTGGTGTATATACATCGCAATTCATTTTCCAATTTACCCACGTTTATCATGGGGTAAAATTTGGAGACAGTAGCCAACAAATGGATGGGAAATTGACGTGCAAATTTTGAAAAATTTTTGGGGTTCATCAAAGAGAACGCGGCAAGGTGTTCAGTGCGCAGATGATCGCTTATTTGATTCACCAGAATGTCACAGCATTCCTTTGCAGACAAAATCAAACGCTGCGTTGTTTGCCCGCGGCGTAAAGAAGCACTCCACGTGTCGTCGTATTTTATTGTTTCCCGGATACGAGATACAGCATCGCAGAAGTCTGAAATACACGACTGCACAGACGCTCCATCCATTAGCCTTGACTGCAATGCGCCGTATAATACATCCACGTGATAGAATATTGTGGAGAAAAAAGCGAGAAAAAATGAAAACTCACCATCTTCTAGCAGACGCTTTAGACCTGCCGCCTCTCTCACAGAGCGTTCGTCCCAAACCGGATAGCTCTGAATGCCATTGAAACACTCAATGAGCTCAGACCTAATTTAGGAAACGCCCTGCACCACGCGTGATTGGAAGTTCCAACGTGTTGGTGCACAAGCTGGGAGACGGCGGCTACATATCTGGCGAAGGAGGTCAAAGCGCTTCGGCGAAACGGAAAAAAATGAAGAAAACCCCGAAACATTTGCAAAAAATATACGGACGAGAGGGGTATCAAGACACATATTTTTAATAACGAGGTTAAATTGGTGTGCATAACAATGTAAAAAATGCGCATGAGGAAAATCTTCTTTTATATAAACTTGAACACCATGTTTCGACCCACTCATGACTGCCGCGCCGTCATAAGTTTGAGCTATCAATTTTGACTTCTCGTTGTAAGGCTGTAACACTTCTTTCAGTACAGCCGATATCCCGCAAGCCGTGCGATCAACGATTGGTACAAAGCTGTGAAATCTCTCGGTAGGTTTACCATCTTTCACAAACCGAACAGTCACAGCCAGTTGGGAAACGCACGTGATGTCAGTTGTCTCGTCAGACTGAATCGAAAGGAACTGGCAATTCTCAATTTCCAGAGCCAAATGTTGTAAATAAATTTTATACATTGAGTCGAGCAAATCATTTTGAATATCCTTAGATGTCCCTTTCGAAACAGTTGCGGCATCAAGATGATCTTTCAATACTGTATCTAGGGATGCGGTGTATTCCACCATATCCAAAAATACCCCTCTATTAGAAGAGCCAGCCCGTTCATCGTGCCCACGGATGGACAGTTCGTGACAACCAATGAACGACGACGAATAGAAACCGCGCGTACTTCATCCAACTGTGCTGCAATATTAACATTTCCGAATGTTCGGTATTCTACTGCATTGTCCAGATGCTCCATAGAAGATTGATGATCCCTGGCACGCTCGGAAAGATGTTTAAGATCTCTAAAACCAAATTTACACCAACGTGAGTCACGGGCGGTAGCAAAAAGTAGGCAATAAAAACAAAAAAGTGCATTTTTGTCCTCGCTGTAACACAACCATTCGTGTTTTTTTATACCAAGTTTCTGCGCAGAATGTACGCCGACGCTTTCCTCCGTCATGGGATTGTTCCAGTGAACAATTTTTTGGTTGATAAGGCCCAAGACGTTGTTGTACCTCTAATTTTTGTTCCAGCGGCAGCTGCGAAAACGGAGTGCGAAGTGGTGCATCAACCTTATTCATTATGAGGTCTAAGACTAAGAAATGCGAAGCCGGAAAGAAGTGAGGAGCTCAAAAGGAATGTGGAAAATCGAAAGCAAATGGACTAAAGGTCTCCAACTGATTCAAATAGCGGAACTAGCGACAAAAACGAAGGCGAGGAAACTATCAACTCTTCAAGCAACCAACGAACGAGAAGGAATGCGTGAATATGTCAACTCGTTGTTGTAAGAAACGTCGGCATTGTGTCGTCATAATTTCGGAGCTAGCCCCGATCGGCCTCGATGATTTAGTAAAAGAAACAGAAAACAAACGAGACAAACGCGGCGAGTGGAAGATAAAAGAGAGAATACGATATACAATGTTCGACGTTCGGCGAAGGCTTTGCGAGCGAAAAATGAACCATGTCGGAAGAATATGGCTAGTGTAGACAGTCTGTGCAACCGATATTGAGGTATTTTTCGAATATTTTTTATTATACCAAAAGAACAACCGGGGCATTTCCCCGGTTGGCCCTATTGACGCGCCTCCGTAACATATGATGACTTTGTCGCGTTATCAACTTTAGTATTTTATGGTGCTGTATTATTCATCACTTCATTTTAGGTTGATACCCAGCACTAAAATTAGACATATACAACCGACAGGAAAGAGGAATGCGATCTTCTCGTGAAAGTCCGAGACTTTTCTCGTAGATGAGAATACCAAGGTGCTTGTCGCAGATATGCCATTCCTGCGACGGCAACTTGTTTTTTGATATCGTTGGTGCTTCAGTTTGCAACAGTGTCGTTTAACAATGCTATAAACCAGGGCTTCCCAAACTTTTGAGCTCGCGGCCCCTTTTAATATATTAAAATTTTCCGCGGCCCTTGTTCGCGCTAATAATGCTAAACAGCTCGAAATATGCATTTTTTATGTTTTATTGGCACAGCTATATTTCAACTTTTAGTAGGCCTACTCAATTACAAAAACAAGCACATATTTATTCAAATTCACGTTACTTAATTATTCAGTGTAATGGATGCGAATACTTTTTGCTGCATAGCAAGCCCAGCCTTGGCTCAATGTTTGTTTATGCAGGCCTAAATGATGAATTACGATGTCTGGCCACCGACGGCATGGTACTTATCTGGAATTATTCACCCTTATTGATCAAACTTAGCATAAGACAGCGGTTTGTGTGACGCCAATTATCATGGAAAAATCTCATGCTGGCGCACCTACACGAAAAATATGCTGCCTGATAATAAAACACGATTTTGTCATCGTTAATATGTACTTATCTTATCTCTGCCTGGTTTTTCTCTAAGACGCTAAAAAATCACTCATGTTCAGCAAATGAATAAACTGCGGCCTACGAAATTGCAGCATGTAGGATACCCGACGTAACAGAGCGTACACATCATAGAACAGTAAAATGAACTTGATTCGTATACACTTCATTTGCAACAATGAGAAACAATATAACATTTAGAATAAATAAAATATGTTATAAATTTTGAGGCGCACTTAGCAAATCGCCTTCGGGAACCGCTAGCTTAACAATTATTAAAGCCGGCATTGTTATGCAAGCACACGCTAATCGGGTCTTTCGATCAGAATATGCATTGTTATGCAAGCGCGGTGATTCAACTGTGTTTCCCCGAAAGTAAAACCAAGCCTGAATTTTAGAAATTATTTTAGTATAAGCGCTCCCCTTTAAAAAGACTTAGTCGATAGCGCAAATTTTTTTAACCTAATCAAGTAGAAGTGCGTCGTTTCAATTTTGCTAGGACGTCGCAAAATTTCGTGATTCGTGAACCTTTCAAACAACCCATATCTTCTACTTTTACAGAAAAATGGGAAGATTATATCGATCTTACCTGTGATGGTGTTACAATAAAAAAGGTTAATTCTGAAAATTCGGTTTTCTGTAGATAAAGATTATTTTTCTTGGTTCAAAAAGCGTTGCGGGCTCTTTGCGATTTCGTTTTTATATAAAGCAGACTTTTCTACCAAGGCCCATTAAGTATGATTTCACTGACTGTCGTTATGTTTTGTTTGTTCCTTCATATGAAACTCATTGCAAAAAAAGTCTTTTATTGAAAGGTATCAATACGTATTTTCACGGGTAGTCGTAACTTGAGCATATTTTTGGAGGGCGTCACAATACAATGAAGTTCGAGAACCACTGAGTCCTAGTCGATAGCAAGAAATTTCTACTTTTTAAATGATGGTTAATAATCTATATGTAGCAGTTATTTCAAATGAAGACGTGCTATTTATAAGTAATGGAAATCCGTATTCATATTTGGCATAATAAAAAATCTCGTTATTCTCTACATATTCCCAAAATAAGCCCTAGTGTTATTTTCGAAATAAAATTGAAGACACTGTCTTATTTACACAGTATGATGATGTGTTCATTAGGAATCGTGAAATTTTTGTTTCATATTATTTTTAATAATTGTATTTCGAATCAAGAGTCTGGAAAAGTAGATATGGTACTTTGTGTAAAATGGTGCTCTCTTCGCGGCCCCTAAAATTCGTTTCGCGGCCCCTTCCAGGGCCGCGGCCCCTAGTTTGGGAAGCCCTGCTATAAAACATAACGATAAATTGACAATACGGTTGCGCGATCAGACCAGAATCGCTCACGCCTAAAAATAGTTTATCTAATATTATATATATATTAAAAATTAAGCATTGAAAATTTTGTCATCGCTTCCTTTCAAATTGTGCAATTGCACTCGTAACATCGTTAACGGATTCCAGACGTAGCAGGGTATTGAGAAACTCTGGCAAACAATAGAACACCATCATTCAACATATATATTGTTGGCTCAATAGGCAGCCTCGTGGCGGTTAGATATGTAAACAAGGAATTTGAAACGCAATACTCTCAAGACAATGGTAGTCGATTTTAGACCGGGCCGTGGCTGGAGTGTATCTCCGCCGACGCAATTCATCCGTGGCGCAGTCTTGTTGTTTGTTTTATCTTCTGGAAAAGACCGGTCAGGAGGCTGGCACTCTCGTTTATTTCTGAAAAACTTTAACCTTCAGCTGTTTCATATAGATTTCGACCTTAATAGCTCTTAAATAGTCTGAGTGGCCTACTCGGGACAGTTTATAATAAACGTTCCAGAGCTACGGAAAAGACAAGAACGCTCAACGGAGACGATGGCAAGCAGCTGTGGACCCTTTCATGCAGAGGCATTGAGACGGCAGAGAGTAATTGATCGCAAACGTGCCGCCCTTGCCCGACTTGCTGTTCTTCAAGTAAGTTGAACACTATCTTTTAGTTCCAGAGAGATTGATCCCTGTGCAACAGGTTGTAAAATGTATTCACATTACTCGTTTTCTTGACTAAACCATAATATGCAATCTTCGAAGCACAGATAATAACCGAATTCAAAGTCTAACGAAAGAAAAAATTTAAAATATTAAAGGTTTCAGAAACGATATATAACTTACAATTTCAATAATATACATTGTTCAAAAGCCTATGAAAGCTTCATTATTACAGTTTTCTTCCGAACCTATTCAGGTGAATGAGGCTATTCATCTAATTCTGAATATATTCTATTATCATTCGCTTTTGTACACGTTATAGTATGAGTAAATCCGAATTTTGTGAAGTCAAGTGCGGAGTTCAAATTGAAGTATTGAGGATTGAAGTAAACAAAATATCAGGATATTTAATATCAAATTTTACACGAAGTATCAGTTTAAAAGGAATTGCCATAACTAATTGTTATTATGATATTGATTACGTTGGTTTTGTTGAAAGTGTGCACATTGTTGATAAGATCCTGCTTTTACAAATTAACCATTTGTTGAGCTATTGTAACAAGATAATGTCATAATGTGATAGAATTGGTATTGAAACAAAACAGCTGTGTTGGTGGCGGAACAATGAACCGTCGTCGAGTTATTTATAGCACAATTTCAACAATAGGCTTCTGTGTCTCTTCTTGGCGGGAGTGTGTTTGGGAACAACGCCTGTATTTGCCGTATTATTTCGCAACGCTTTCGGTATTACACACAGAGCTCCTTATGAACTGGAAAAAGGACGCTATTCTAGTAAAGCTACGTATTTGTAGACCCCCAGCCACTGCAATCAGCACAGATCATTTTTATCTTCACCCGAAAAAGATTTTGTGCCACAAAAGCATTTGATAAGCAACAAATGGTAATGAAATCTCAATATAGTCATATGTCATTTACTCTATATACATCCTAACACGAAAAGGAATCAATACGATAAACAAATACAGCGTTATTGTCACACCTTTCCGTCTAGTGCAGTGCAATCGGAATTTACATGTAACGGCTACTGAAACGGTCTCCGTGTTCGTTAAAAATACCGGCTTTTTCGTGGTATAATAAATTTTTCTGTCTAGTAATAACTACAAGAATTCAAAATGTTTCTCTATTCTAATTCATTTGGGTTCAAGGTAACTCGCGGTTACGGCGACTCATGCTAAAATAAACTCATTACCGATCTAAAATACCACGCCAATCCGCGGATATATTAAAGTGCGATCAACTGCCAGATTATATTTAGTTTTGATATATATCGCACTCATGCGAATTCGTTGTCTTCATTAGAAAGATCTGGTATAATATCCCAGAAAGTATACTTAATTTAGTACAATTAATAAAATACATATTCATCGACACGAAATCCCCGCGGCACGAATCCTGAGTCAGTCCTCGAGATTACGCCAGTCGTTATAAGAGCCGACTTTGTCAACGGATAGGTAATGATTTTCGTGTTGAATAAAATATTCAATCCACGACCGATATACTCATTTAAAATGGTTGCTTTATTCATTTAATTGTGATAAATTAAATCTGCGATTGCGCCGATAAAATAAAAGCACCACTACTCCAAAATACCCAGTAATCCGCAACCATAAAAATGTGTGGCAAAGTGCCCGAATACATTTTGTTTTGATTTGTATTCTTGCCAATTTCACCATTATGAGCTGTCCCTGCAACTCTTACTCCGCTCTATCGCAATGCTCGATTAATTTTAACACCGTTACAGAAATTCCTTAGTCTGCGATAAAATCCCACGGAGTAAAATTTATTTCAAGTGGGTAGTTTTAGAAGGTGACCGTACATTTGAACCCACGTACATTTGAACCCATGAGTATATCCACGGGTTCAATCTATATGCGGGTACTGAAACCCATGGGTTAGGGTTAGTATGGGTTCAACTATCCGAAAAACAAAAAAAATTCCATAGGTGCAATAGCATACAGGTGCAATTGTCATGGGTTCAAATGTACGTGGGTTCAAATGTAATGGAACCGTTTTAGAACACTACTGGTGTGCCGCAGGCACAAGGAAATTATAAGATTTGCAATGTCTAAGAAAGTGTTTTTAATCTGTCGCGGTCCACCCCAAAACAAAACTCATGGTGTTTTCTGTTTTATTTTTAGTATTTTATAATCTCGCTTTTACAGTAAAGAAATATTTGGTTGCAGATTCACTACTTTTTTCTATCTTTAGCATCTCGTCGCTGATGATTATATAATAAAAACCAACTCGTTTTTCTCAGAGGTGTCATGGTTCTATTCGAAAACAAAAAAAGTAATTATAATCGTCTTCGCGACACAAGAATATGTCGAGGGAAATTTCTGATTTAGGGAGAATAAACACCAAAATCAATATTTTCACGGCTTAAATAGCAGGCCACGCTTACGAAAACAATCTAGATTTAAACAAAATGCAATCGCCAACGCCTTGGCGACTTTATTTTTCAGCGGTCAAAGGCCGGGGAAACGTCCACATGCATAATAACTATTAAAAAATGAACTGCTTTTAAATTTACATAAATTCATTTGTACTTCTCCAATTTGTTTGAAACGTTAGGCAAGCCATGAAGTCTGTAATTGTTGCTTATTTTTAAAACACAGTAAATAATTTTTGCATCGCTCAATATTGATGAAGTAAACAATTGATCGAAATTTTACGTGTCTTTTGTAAACGTTTAAGCAGAAAATACATTGAAGCATAGGTTTATTGTGTGTTTAGTTTTATTTAAAAATTAGTTTGACTTTACCGGGTATTGCAAACTGAGGGGGAAAACGAGAATGTATGATGACCAACCATCACAAAAGCATTTTTTCAAAGCAAAAATGGGGGGGGGGGGGCGAAGTTTGTAAAATTTTTCAAAGGGGGCGCGGCTCAAAAAGTTTAAGAACCACTGGTCTAGTGTTTATTGTTTCGTTTGAAACACACGTTCAAAGTGTTGTTTGATAAACAGGTTTGTGAAAAATCGCTTTCTTATCGCAATATGTTGCCAAATATATAGAAAAACTTTCAAAGATAGAATTGCGTACATTGTAGAAATCAGTCACGTGAAAATACCCAAATTGCTGAAACTATAGAGCCTTTGGCCTTTTGTATTCAAGAGGTAACCAATAAAGACTGAAATTTAATATCAAATACTCGTAAAATGTCTCATGAATAATTTAATATTTTATCAAGGAGGAAGAAGAAGAAAACCGACGTCTTCAAACGATTGCTTATGAACAAGCAAAACAAGAAAGGCATGCAGCTAAGATGAGAGAACTTCAGGACCACTTAAACGATGTCAGAGACGGTGTCTCTCACAAGTAAATCAAAATGTTATTTCTTTCCCAATCAAAATGATATTTAAACGTTCAAACATTGCTATACAAAAAGTATCGTCGGGTAAATTTGTGTTTGCATGACGAAAATTGTATTTTTAAGAGTTATTTGTTTTCAGCCTTTTTTTGAAATTAACAACATTGCTCGCATTCTTTCTGCTGAACACTGTTCACTGTTTTTAGCGTATAAATTCTGGATTCTTTATGAAATATTTCTTTCCTTGCCACTCATTCAAATCCGAAACGTTCGATTCTTATTCTTTTATAGAAAAAAGCTTCGCCCAAGCCGACGCAAGCCTTGAATATCGGCCTAAAATTTTTCAACAGTTATCTGTTCAATTCTAATCTGCATTCAAGCAATTTAAGCCATGTTTATCATCATTATATAACTTCTGGATTTATCGGTGTTAAGTGCATCAATTTTATTTTAAAAAACAGACCGTCGGCTGGCAATTTTAGCCGCGTGGCGACTCATCCCGATTTGGTGAATAAACACCGAGAATATGTTAGGCCTGCAACAGTGATGGGAATGCCGAGGTCAGCTTACAACGACATCAAAGGAAAAGAGAAGATTCTCCGTAACCATAACTTATATCAAGCTCATCCTAAAGTTCTGTGGAATCTAAGACCGAAATCCCATCGCTAAATATAACGGAAATATTGCTATGAAGAGATTATTATGTTTATATAACTGTCATGTTTATTTGATTATTCGTTTGTATGTATGCCATTATTTTTTACATTTCTAAATACTGTATTATGTAACGTGAGTCCATATAATTCATTTCTCACAACTGTAAATAAAGCCTAAAGGTGGGCAAGGTTTTTTGTGAAAAAGTACTCAATTTTTTGGAAAGACCACATCATATCTTTTTGAAATTAAATATGTAAAATATCTCTAATTGAAGACTTTTAAAGAAATATATTAGATGACAAAGTGAAAATATCAACTGACTAAATTTATTTAACGAAGCAAAGTAGTAAGTACGTTTTTCATAAGGAGTATTATTTTGGCTACAAACACCATTATTATCGGCTTGATCAGTGATTTAACGGGAAAGTCAACAATGAGACACCATTGACTGGCTATTCATTGTACTACTTTGAATGGGCAATGACGACTTAGTGGAATTTGATTTAACAAAAAAAATTAGATAAATCTTCAGATAGATAGATGCTTTGGGAGGGGTGATCTTCATAAGATCCCCTGAAAGGCGGTTACTGAATGGCCTGGTTGATTGACTGAACTGGTGTGCACTATGAAATCCTTATGCCTTTCCTTGTCGCTCCTGATATTCGGTTATTTAATTCTTTCTAACACTTCTTACAGGTTATTATTGAACATATATATCACATTTTCCGAGTTGCAAGATATCCTTTGATTTATGTTTAGCTCAACTCCCGTTGCGTTGCCGGTGCTTTCCGTTTGCTGAAATGACTGTGCGACTGGGGCGATATCACTTAAGTGTGCTACTTTCGACTGTTTGTCTTGGATATTTGTATTTTTGTACTCTTCGAATTGAAAAAGTTCAGACCTGGTAACAAAATAGGATCACTCGAGTGCGTTGATTTTATTATACATAATAAAAGACAAGCGCTGACAAAATGCCCAAGCACGCAGTTATGAATTGCGAAGAGATGTTTTCTAAAGTGGCTGGCATTTCAATGCGGTACACTTGTGTTGAATTACACTTTTTCCAACGGCTAGTTAGTGTGCGTTATGATGCTGCTATATATATATATATATGAGACCTCTCGTCTCAGAAACAAATTAGCAGAATATTCACATGCTAACCAAATGCCTATATAATTCTGTTATCTATTTGTGCTTCTTCACTGGTTGGGCCAACACATCAGGCTGCATATTTTCAAAGTGATATGGGGGCATATCCTAATAGTTGTTGTGGAATATCTTGTCAAATTCCTGAATCTATGTTGGGTTTAGACATGCCCGAAATTTCTCACTTGTTCTAACCCAATTTATGCAAATATAGATTCTACCACATTCAGCATTGTTTCGGTGAAGTTGAATATCAAGAGGCCATTCTATATACATGGTTGAAATGAAGTGACTGATCGCCAAGTGCTCAGCACTATGGAACTTATTGGGCGTTTTGTGTGTTGAAAATTATATTTTATTTTGCCCCTATGCATAAACTTTGTTAGCTCTGTTCAAGCTGCGCCCTGCGCCTATTTGAAATAAAGACCCAAGGAAAAAAATGTCATAGCACACTAGTATCTTCAAACTCGTGATATTTAACCACAGTCGATGCCAAGATGATTCATTTAAATCTGTGCTTTAAGCAATGTGTTCTTATTAATTTTAGCCCCTGTTGACGATTTACATTACGAACCATTTTCTCGAACAATGTGATATTTTATGAATGTACGTTTCTACTAATGTGAATTTAGTTGCAATTCTTACTTGAAACTTTGCCTTATTGAGCATATCAACTTTTCACTATAAGTTATTACAAAACCCGCCTTCTCCATCTAAACCTATTTGATTTCTTGTATGGGATAGTCTCCATCCTGTTTTGCCTTTCAATTCATATCTTCAAAAACTAACTGCACAATTAAATACGTGATGGCTATATTACCTTTGTAACTCCCTAAATTATTTTATTAAAGAACCTCGGCTCCATGTAATTGAGTGGATGCGAAGAATACCGCAGGCCTCCGGCTGTCTAATGCCACCTTTAAAGAGCAATGTTGGTTATTTTCATTCCCTATTTATGTACGATTGATTGGGATGGTTGGTTGAAAAATAAAACCTGTTTTGTCATCGAAAAAATACATTTCAATTTGACTGCCTATCACTTAGAATAAGATCTACTCTTAAATGTGTCTCGCAGAGTTTTTCTTAAACAAAAAGCGGTTATACTCCAGAAGTGCACCAAGATGGCGGACAACGGAACGTAGCATGTGTACCAGGTTAGGGTTGAGCCATAATTTCAGGTACAAATACCACGGGATTCACTTGGCTAGTCCCCGTACTCGTAATATAACTAAAAAAAGGAAAATCGGAATAAAATTATGGCCTAACCCTAACCTGGTACACATGCTAAACAAAAAGCAATTGTATTTAGCATGATCAATCATCTAAAGTTTGATAATTAATTTCTGTTGCTCAATAACCATCAAATGGCTAACATTACTTTATATTCAGTTCACTAGTTTTTAGAGTGCAATAAACTTTGGCAACCCCATGACTGTGGCAATATGTATTATATATGTATATTCTTATCTCAGAAAAATATAGAAAGGCTTATTGTAAATGACGACTAAATGTAACTGTGGCTGAAAATGGTAGAATCGCATTTTTAACTTATTTGCTCTCAAAATTGGGGGTCATAATAGTGTGGGGTTACATTACTTTCGTCTGATTAATTCTGCTTTGATTTGCTTATAACGAGCAATATTTAAACTGGCAACATATAAATATACCTACTATCCTTCCTACATCGCTGTTTTTTGAAAAACGACTTGCATTCTTTCATCTCTTGTGACAATCAGTATTCAAATGCATCTCTGTCGTTAGAATAAATCTACTATCGCACGGCCAAAGGTAAAGAAAAACTAAAATTTTAACCAGTTTTCTAATATCGTAAATTAGTTAATATTACTGAAATATTTCCAAAAATTCGGACCAAATAAAATATTTGCAGATACTCAGACACTTTTTCTACTCCATAGATTTTATCATATTATGCGCGAACAGTGAGATTTTGCAATTTATTAGCAATAAAACTATTTATAACTTATAAATATGTTAAATGTATTTGAAAGACCGTCTGCACCGGTATGTACGACATATATTTAAATACAATTATATTTTGAATTCATGTGTGGTGGCTCATCCCAGAATTAGAGGGGGGGGGGGGTAATTGAAAGTGCGATGTTCACTTCTATATATGGGGTTGTGTAGGGGAACATTCTACCGGTATAAATATTGTAATTCATGTCCTAAACCTAAAGCATCCTGATGATTTCTAGAAAGTGTGGCAATTGAAAATCAAGGTTCTTCAAACTACAGAAGATTCGCTTTAGTATTTTTGCCGAGAACGGATTAAAAGCTAGTAAAGTCATCGTAAACTTATATTTCTGTCTTTTTTGGAATTGAGTTGAACGAATTGAACTTGTCCAGCAAATTGAGTCTAACTCATTCTATTCTCTTGACAAACATAACATTTTACATTTTGAGAACTTTCTCATTTGGCTCGGTATACCAAATTTTATAAAATTTGCATTGTTCCCCTATTATTTCATACTGCACATGAAATGTTCTTAATATTGACGAGAATCGTAGACGATTGTTGCAAGAGGCGACCTCATGTACAATATATATTACTTCTTTACACCGTGTTACAGTTTACCTATATGTTTTTTGCTCTGCAGAGTAAACAAAGCGAAGGACTAATTACGAATATTAGTTAATCTAATTATCATGGTTTTATCGTGACTGAGATTGAGGTAAATGATATGTGAACAACATAAGACTTGTATCTGTTGACATCTCTGCTTCAGTGATAAGCTGATATGTAGCACTTAGCGTCAGCTTGTTTCAGATCTATTTTTGACACTATTTCTGATTCAACACCTACCTATGGTACCTTGTCATGAATAAGTTTGTATCAAAGTCAGTTGGTTTATATACATTCTTTTATTTATGTAAATACATGATTGGATAGACTTTGACCTGAGCAGATATAAAAGTCATTGTCTGCACCTCGTGCAACAAAAGGTTTTGTTTTATAAAAGAAAAGTAATAGCCTTCTAGCGACAAATCTTTAACCAATGAAAATCAAAGCAATTGGTTCAGGAGTTAAAAAGCAGATCGATTTTTTCACAGCAACAAAAAATAAAATACACCAACAAAACAACAATTTACCAAAACGATCCATACGTCCACTTTGTGTCCAATTATAAAATACATTTTGCACTCTGCGGAATATATTTAATGTTAAACCGCTCAACACAAGTTTTTTTTATTTATTTGTACTTTAAGTGCATATTAAACAATATATATATATTGTTTAATATGCAATATATATATATTGTTTAATATGCACTAATATATATATATATATATATTACAAAAAATAAGAGTAATCCCCATACTACGTCACTATCATTATTTTTCCTCTGCTTTCAAAATGTTGGACCAAACTTCAAACTTAGGCAATATTATTTACAAGTAGCATGTTATTATGCTAATTTGATCATATTCAGCTTGAGCACGAAGTCTTAAACTAACAAGTGAATCGGTTCATTTCAGGCTGCATAATTATACTATTGCACAGCCGAGCACAAGCGGTAAAAAACTGCCACTTGCTCGACATTTCACGACATTGTAGAAATCGTATTCAGGAATGCCAATCGTGTATTTATCATTAAGTAGAGGGATAGAAGTAATAGCCATAGTTTTGACCTTGAACTAAACAAAAAAATCAGATCGAATATTTTAGAAAAGATGTTATCTTAACTTAATTATGCATCTATAAGTTTAAAATTCTCAATATCCATAATCGCTTTGAAATCTGTTTCTACTTCTTTTTAGTAGTCCTACTATCCGACAGACGTATTTATAGCGGCACAAACTCCAACTTCTGAAAGTACCGAGGCGTTCTGGCGAATGATCTTAGACAACAAAGTCAGCATGATTGTATCCTTGTTTGAGGCAAGTTATTTATTATTCAGATATTAAATAAATAAATGGTTTTTAATTTTATTTATTTTTTAATTTTAAATAGTTTTTAATTTTATTGTACGTAAAAACAACTGTAGAAACCTGTTCAGCGGGTTACACAAAAAGAGAATTTGTAACATCACTCAAAGACAAAAAGGTTGTGTATGTGGAGCAGTGATTTTGAGCGTCCAACTGACTTGATGTCCGTACTTTATATAGACTTTGCTGACGTGTTATACGCTAAAATATTATATACACATTAACAACAAGTGATGGTCTGCGCAAATATAATTTTCACACTAAATCATTCCATGATGTATGCCATAATTTGCTATTGATTCCGTATGTAATGAATTACCTCTGTACAAGAACACTGACTAGGACAGAATTTGAACTGATAAATACGTTTTAATATTCAGCTGACAGTTCCACAAATTTACTACGACCAATGGCCTGAAGAAGTAAATCCAGCAAATTCTAGCACTATTCTTGAAATAATTGCGAGCATTGAAAGGCACAACCGAACATTGGCAAGTTCTGAGAACAAGACAACGCTTGTACATTGCAGGTAAACATATCTCAGGCCTTCATTTAGCCTCATAATTAATGAATAATCAACCAGAAAAACGAAATAACAATTCTAAAGAGATAAACCGCTTTAAAGGATTATTTCGTAACTTTTCAATTATTCAACAATTTTGCGTTTGTTCAGTGATGGATCTGGACAAACTGGGACATTTTGTGCCATTTCAAATCTAATCGAGAGGCTGAAAAATGAAAATCGTGTTGATGTCTTAAGAACAGTGAAACATTTGAGGGATCAAAGACCGATGATGGTCCGAAATAAGGTATGCAGAGTTGTAGACAGTCTACAGAAATGAAATGCAATTTGTGTATTATAGAATAGTTGTTTCTTTCAGATAAACAAAATTCAATTTCATAACAAAATTCACTACTTTGAGATACGCAAATTTTAAATGAGGTTACAGAAAATATTATCTCTATTTTTAGGGTCAATAGGAATTTTGCTATCAGGCTGTCAGCGACTTTCTTCAATCATTTCATCTTTGTGAAAACTTTCAAGAGAGAGAAGGAAGCGACAATATGGACCAATAAAATACAATTCATTGTTTCATATCAACTCATACAAGTATCAAGACTTATGTCTGCTAGCAAATACAACGTATTCAGTTGATAAATCACATAGTTGATAAAAGATTTACAAAGTTTTATTCCGATCATGAATACTAAATTATATAATCAAACATTTACAATAAATAAACGGTATTTGCAAGCGTGTCCATGGGAATAGGATTCCAAACGTCCCATGGGGTGGGACAGCCCACAATTTGTATTTCCCATGGGACACGTGGGACGCAAAAGCCGTATGATTTTCGGGGATATGATGGTAAAACATTTCGTTATGGACTTCTTGAGTTCTTATTCATATATTTGAGCATATCTCTCTTCTTAGCTATAAAGGGCAAAATACAGTCAGCATTATCAATATACTTCGTGAAGGGGCTGATGGACACATTTATAATATTCATGAATATAAAGTTAACGAAGTCCAATGGGAATCCCATATGGGATGGGACAGGCATAGTTGCTATGGGATGGGAATGGGACAGAAAAAATGTCCCATGGACAAGCCTGGATATTCGTGTCGTGTTTAGTGGTAGATAAAAAATATTAGGAATTTCAAAGTAGGTTGAATCCGTAATAATAGACACTCGGAGTGATGGACGAAACAGCAAATTTCAATAAACATTAAAAACTGAATATCCGAGAAAATTTAATTTGCAAGATTTTGGAATGCAGCCATGAGTGTTATAATTTATTTGCTAATGAACATTCAGGCTGAAAGCATGAAAATATGTTCGTGTGGTACTTTGTCAACAATTGCTAGACAAAAATAACTATGTAATTTTTAGATTAAATGTTTTATTTTCTCGTTTATACCGATTAAATCTGACAATTTCATAAAAAATCATTTTTTCGTAATAGCAAGTATTCATGGATTGGTATAACCTCCGTTATTAAGCAGACGACATTTTGATTTATATATTTCCCCATGTCTCACTGTCACGAACCTGTTATTATTAGCATGTTTTTTATTATTATTTTCAACTCTATATCTTGTTTTGTTCCATCGTTTCGCCAAATGCCGCTAAGTGAAATTTTCCAATTTCTCAAAAAATTGCGAATCTCAATCAGGAATTTAAAAAAAAATCTATATTAAATGAATTAAGCAATATCCATGCATGCACGGCGCAATCACTAAGAAAGTTAATCATCGGATTTTATTTAACCTTCTTATGAACAAAGGCAACATATTTTATGTTTGATGAACGAAAGAACAAACATCGCCTGTACATAAATGTATACCTTTTTAATGTCGATATGTTTGATATTGTTATTTGGCGTTCTATTTTCTATATTTCACATTTACACAAAATATCCATGCATGACCCAATTGTTAATACAGTCAATCATCGAAATTTTATCTCGTTTAGTAGAAGTTTACAATACCAACGCAACATAAACAGCGACACAATAAAGCATAAACATCGTTACACATTCACCTACATAAACTTATAGATATGTTTATTATTGTAAATGAATGGCTGAGCTTTCATTTTATTTGTTGCTTTTTGTCATCTGAGTGTAGTGGCTCGTATTATTGCGCGAGTTTATCTCGTGGTTTCGCCAATTTAGGTTTAAACAGGGTGACAGAGTTTTGTGCTATTTTACTACGTCTAGGGTATTTTATAGTCATTAGTTACCACTGTGTTTTGGTTGTAGGATTAACTGTGATTTATATGAACTTCATTAGAATTTGATGTATGCTCAAGTAAGACTTGCCATAAATTCACATTGCAGTTTACACACTTAAATGAGATTCCTCCGATTTTATTGGATTTCATTCTGTTATTCAAGCACAATTTTAAAGAAAATTGCAATTAAGTTTAAAGGCTGCGTTTGCTTACAAGAACATTGTGTTGGTTGGTGTGACAGTTTTGTGGTTTCAGTGAGTAAGTTAAACGACGGTTAATAAACCGTACACGACAGAACATACGATTATAAATCAATTTTTTTTTTCATTTTTCAAATCCTTTAACATTCGTCACAGACTGAAATATTGCATCATTCGTATTCCATTTGTTAAACGAAATAATAAAACCTAGGTTTTTGCATCAAAAGTTGATTTACGAATGTTTAACCAGCACCGCTGCAACCAGCCGTAACTATTTTAAATTTTCGCCACGTTAATATTTCTTTATTTCAGAAGTATTTTGAAGCTTTATAGTTTAGTAATTAGAGAATGGATCAATGGAGTATTATGTTTGATGAAAGGAACGCACTGATGTCTTTTACATGCAACTGTAAGGTTTTGTATACAAAAATTATCTCACTGAAAAATCAGAACAGACTAAATACAAATATTTAGAATGCAAGAAAAAATATGAGAAATTGATAACTGTGAAAAAACAAAATTACTATAAGTCATTACTAGGTAGACATCGTAATGATCTTAAGAAAACTCGGTGTACTATGAACGATCTGCTTGGGCGTTCTAAACCAAATCTAACACAAGTATTTTCTATTAATGGACAGGAAACCCCTGATCCTGTCAAAATAACAGATCATTTTAACTCACACTTTTCTACAATTGGGAATAAAATGATTGAACGATTTCCTCATACCACAAGGGATGACTTTAAGCAATATATGGGGCAGCCCAGTAAAACTTCCATGTTTCTTGCCCCGACATCAGCGTTCGAAGTCCAAATTATTATGAAATTGTTTCGACCTAACCAGTTGTGGTATAGATGGAATTCCCTTTAAAAGAATACGAACAATGCCTTGGAATTGTATCTGTGCTCTTACACATATCTTTAACTGTTTCTTACAATCTGGTAAATACATAAACCAGTTCAAATTATCTAAAGTTATGCCATTATTTAAAAAAGGAAATATAAAAAATGTAGAAAACTACCGACCAATCAGCTTACTTCCCGCTTTCTCCAAAGTACTCGAAAAAATTATGTACAAAAGACTCAACAGTTTCCTATATCAAAAAAATTTCTTTCATTCCAAGCAATTCGGTTTTCGCCAAAATCACTCTACATGCCATGCAACATCTCTACTTGTCAGTAAAATTTTAGAGGGATTTGATAAGAACGAGTATACTCTTAGTATGTTCTTGGACCTTTCCAAGGCATTTGATAGTATTGACCATGACATATTACTAGCCAAATTGCACCATATTGGTGTGAGAGGTCAGAGCTATAACTGGTTCAAAAGCTATTTATCAGGAAGGAAACAAGTAGTAGTATTTAATGATGTAGCATCTAGCACATACTGTAATTTGACTGTAGGCACATTACAAGGTTCTATTTTGGCTCCATTGTGTTTTTCTGTCATTATTTAACGACTTTCCAAATTCTCCTCTTCACTCTGATATCATACTGTTTGCCGGTGACTCAACACCATATCTTCGAGGAAAAGACTTGCCTGAACTTTTGACCAAAGCAAATACTGACTCAGAAAATATTCAAACTTGGTTGTCTGCTAACAAACTTACTATTAATGTAGACAAGACAAAATATATGGTATTTAGCGCGTCAAAGCAAAAGTGTCCAACACCGCAACAAAATCTGAAATTAAAGGGTTAACCAGACTCTCTTTCTGGGTGTAACGATCGATGATAAATTGTCTTGGAAACAACACACAAATCTGGTGCTATCGAAAACAAGATCGTGCTTGTGTCCTGTTTGTGAAATTTGATAGTGACAGTCAGGCCTTTGCGACCTCAGTGGGCCTCGCAGTATAAATTGTAACCTTGTATAATTTTATTGATATATATACTCAGTGACTTGGCCACGCGCTCGGAGTTGCCTTGATCATAATTTTGTATTTGGATGAAATGTAAAGACAAATTATTTAAAATTTTCAAGTTCTAATTTTCTGTCATTATTTCATTTCATCTCTAATCGGAGTCAGAACCGCGCAATTCACTTGGCTTTAGGCGTCACAATAGCTAAGGCCATCCCCGTATAATGGGTAATAATATTTCTATTTTTGGATATACATCATTAGGGTCTAAAATACATTGACATCATGACAGTTATTAAACGTGTAGTTTCTTTTTTATGCATCGATTCGATAATGCTTGTTTTGATGGTCTACATCACTATTCACCAAATATCCATATTCATAAGGAATGGCTTATACAAAAGAAAGATCGAAAGCTTGAGGGACGTTTTGAAGCCGTCGAACCTACCAGTCATTATGAATGTCACTCTCATTCTTGTGGGATTGTTTGGTATAGCAGCAATCATGTGTACTATCAAACAAGGTAACATTGTGTTAGAATGGTATCACCGTACTATAGAGGTATGCATATTTAACAACACACCCGATCGAAACCTATACAGAAGCTCGTCCATTTTATACATTTGCTTCACAACATCTATCTACATGGTATTGTGGTTTCGTCAAACGATGTTCAGCACGGAGAAACTTTGAAGAAACTGTCATTCGAATGTTTGAAAAAATTTAGCTATTTCCAGGGATTGTTCATAATACTGTCTGCTATTGTCGTCGGAATAATTAGAAGTTTTGGTGCTCCCTAAGTATGCGAACCAAGATGGCGGACATCGGAACGTAACATGGGTAACAGGTTAGGGTTAGGCGATAATTTTTTTTCAATTTTCCTTCTTTTAGTCCTATTATCAGTTCGAAGACTAGCCAAGAGCCCCCCGTAGTATTTATACCTAAAATTATGGTCTAACCCAAACCTAGTACACATATTACATTCCTATGTCCGCCATCTTGGTTCGCATACTTCGGGAGCCCCGAAGTTTTGATATATTATAACCCGACATATATCTACTACAATTTTATAATAGTATTGGGGATCCAACTTGAGATACAGATTGAATTGCTGACGCTTTTTCTGATTCCTTTAATTAAGCACCAACGTAGATTGAAGTATTTGCATAAAAATCAAAAATCTCCTGAACATCTTGTAAGAACTCATGAAGCGATCTATCGCAGCAGCCATTGTTGCTGCTATTAAAGATATGACAACTATCGGATTTTCACTCGGTTTTCAATTATATTTTTCATCTGTAAATATCTTCATCAATATGTGTTGCGTTTTATTCTGTTTTGCCGATTGGAAAACGAAATTTTTTCATTGTATTGTGTTATGTAAAAGTGATAGCGAGACAGCTCAACAAGTTCCTCCAAGTGATAACATAGGTGAA